AATCAGTACTTTAACCTATTGAATTGTCCCTTCATATTGAAGTTACTAAACAGGGACATCATATATATTTATATTACATATAAATATATTAAATTTATATTTATGAAAATATAAATTTTCATAAATTTGTATTTATGAAATTTGAGGGTGGAAGATAAAACATGTTTTCTACTATAGCAGCATTCAATTTATTCATATACATTTGGAAATGAAATTTTCATGAAATTGCACTGCATGTATTGATATATGGTAAGAGAACTATTTAATTGGAACAATTTGACCTTAAGCTACCCTTTTATTGAGGAGTTTTCCTCAAAATCATTGTACCATATTAAGCATAGAACCACAGTTATCACTTATCACCTAAGTTGACTGGCAAACTTTTGAATTGAAAGGTAAGTCCACTGAGCTGCCTGCCCATGACCTGTCTTTATATCCCATTTGCCACATATTTCTTCGTAGAATGTCATGTCTCTGAGAGCAGGGGTGGCACCTTCCATTTCTCTATGCCAGTTTTATTATGCTTCCATGTGTGCAGAACACCAGTTTTTGCTGACTTTCATTTTATAAAAAGAAACAAATTACCCATTAAAAGGAAAACCCTGCTTTTCAAAAGGTTGAATAATATAGATTTTTTTAAATTTTAAATAAAAATCCAGCTGGTTAAACTGAAGCCATTGAAAAGAAGCTTAATTGAGGAATATTTTTTGGCTCTAAGCCCATCATCTTTTCATTTGATTGTAAATTGGATACAATTTTATTCACTTCAAGCTCTTGTCTTTCAGTATTTTATTCCACTGAGACCAGTAAAGAAGTGTTAATAGTCATGTTGAGCTCAGTTAGACTACTTCCTTCACTTAAATTACCCATTTTGGTTGTATTATTGCCAGCCAGCATTTTGCTTGTTGACATTTTTATTGAATGACTGTGCAAGAAATGTTGATACCTTCATATATTGTTTTGACCCTTCACTAATCTCTTTTTATCTGTCATTTTCTTCACCTGAAATATGCTCTTCTTCCCCCATGCTTTTATCATCCATCCATGAAAGCATGCCCTTTTATTCTCCTATAAAATTATGTCAACTTGTGTCCTTTAAGAATCTTTCCAGAGGATGTAACCTCTTATCTTTAAGGTAATATAAGTCAAGCAGATGCTGTGATTCCTTGATGGAAGAGAGTTTTATCTTCTTTCTTTCTTTGTCAAACATTGTTTTATTTCTCAAAGGGAGTGGAAGACAAAATTGTTGAGGTGTGGAAATGTTCAAAAGCAATAAATAATTGCTTGTAGAAAAACCTGCATTTTCTAAGCTTTATGCTTCGTCAATTTAAAGCATTTGCTAAGGAAAGCAGCTGTTAAGTAATACCAACAATTGAGACCTGTTTTTCATGCCCACATTCTTTTCCCTCCAATTTCCAACTTCATTTCTATCTAAGTTTAGGACTTGGAGTCATGCTCACAATTCAACTCCTTTATTGCCCTCAAAGAGTCTTTATTCATATGAAATGTTCAGAATTTAATATATTTTGTCATATACTATATGTAGGCAAACAATGTGGAGAAACAATGATGAACATATTGGAGATACTTTCAATAGGTTGAACAGAAGGGGAATATATCACAAGAGTGGGCCTGGGTAGAGAGAGGATGTGTCTATCTTGTGGAACTTGGGGTTTCTCTTGGGCATCCAAATGGAGAGATCCAAAAAACAGACAGACGTACAAATTTTTCTCTTAGAAAAAAATAGATCTTGGGAGACATATAATAATAACAAATATGTATTGATTACTTAGCATATGACAGGTACCATTATAAATATGTCTATTAACTCATTGAATCTATACAATATCACTGTTAGTTTAGAAGACATAATTATCTTTGTTTTCAAATTAGGAAACTAATCTGAAACTCAGAAAAGTTTAACAATTTGCTGAATGTCACAGATAGCTAGTGGTCTAGTTGGCATTCCAAGTTAGGCAGTCTCCAGAGTGCACACTATCTTGTGCATTTTCTCTGTTTCACATAAGAATTATTATGTAAGCACATAGAGGATAGTTGACATTTTTGCCATGAATGTGATCACTGGAATAGTGAAAAAGTGTATGTCAGACAGAAACTAAAGAACACCCAATCTACTGATCGTTCCCTGTAGTCTTTAGTTTTACTTTCCATTCTGGCAGCTCCTGGTCATTGATGTCTGCTCTCCAGCACCATCCATCTTGGCAGCTTTTCCTTGTACAAGTACCTTACAAACAAATCCAGGAACTATCTCCAAGCCTGCTTTTGAGAACCTGAATGGACTTGAATTTGCACTCTAAACCACATAAAATAGCCTTTATGATAAAACTTTAAGTTGACTATTAATGGAACTTTCTTCCCCTTCCTACTTTCCATTATATAGCCTTTTCTGAACACACAAAAACAATGAATGTGATCAAGGTCACGTATCTCTCTCTAAACTATCTCACTTCTTTTCTTGAGATGCTTTCTCCCACTTTCATCTTCCTTTGCACCAAAACACCTCTTGCCTCTCCTGCAAAACATACCCTTCAGATAGCCTTTTTACATAAATCCCTACTTAATCTACTTCCATCTTGCTCTCATTATAAATCACTATGATTGCTCAATACACATAACCATTTCTGTGCAGATGTTGCTGGAAGCAAATGTTTATCTGTTTCTCTAATTTTGTTTACAAAAGATCAGAGAATGGTGTACTCTAGTTCATCATTGGTTCAAGTTACTAGAAATAATAAGTCTATCCTATGCATGAATGGACAATTGTCTAGTATTAAAATTTAAGAATAGTCTCAAACCTAGAATGAAAATAATTTAACCTTCCTTTAATGATTCTGAAAATACTTTAGGGGTTTGCAGAGTTCTAAGGTTATCATTATCATGGTCTTATACATGTATAAGAAAGACTTCCAGCCCATAAGTTATCAGATTAATCAGCTTTTACTGCATTTCTTTAGACTTGCCTCACCTCTTCCATTGTATTGTAAGATCTTTAAGAGTCAGAATTATGCCTATTTATATTGCACTTCACATAGGGTTTTGCCCAAATGGGTGCACAATTCATATTTGTATTGTATGGATTGGAGCTTAAAGTGCATGGCAAGATTCTCATTTTAATTTTTTATCTTCCACTTTACTATATATGTCAGGACTTAACCTACTTTTCCAATCCATAACTATAAGAAAATACAAGCAGTGTCCACTGTTACTACTGAGTAATACTTCTTTAAGTATACCTCTATTGTACATCATACAGTAGAAACTAGCACTTTTCACTAACATGAAATTCTCCTCTATTTACAGTCACATAGGGTGGTTGTATAGTCCTGAGGCAAAATTAAGCATGGCTAGACAACTTGCTTGGGCAATGAAATATGGATAGAAGTGCCAAATGTCACTTCCTGTTAGAATATTTAATTCTGATGCCTACTCCCCAGCTCTCTGTTCCCTAGCTGTGAGGATTCTGAAATTACCTGTTGATGTGGGATTGTTACAAAATTAAAGCAGCTGGAACAAGAAACTAACACATGGAGAATACCTGCCTTCTAGAGACACTCACACTGAAAGCAGGCAATACATAAGCAAAAAACTAGAAATTTGTTAAGTAAAGCCACTTAGATTTTGGGGTTACTGTGTTATCACTGCATAACTTAGCATAACTTGATATAGTACTTACTTTATAAATGTCTTATGTATCTTTCTTTCCATAAACAGTACATTCCTTCAGGTCAGGGACCAGGTCTGAAGCATTTCTTTACTCTCAATATTACGCAAAGATAGTTTTTACTAGGCTGTCAAATAGTATTTGTGGAATAAATAAATGAAAAGTAAATAATCTTTATTTCTATAGAAAATGTGATATTATCCATTTGACCATTTCTTTCATTTTATCCTGTCGAATTAGAGTTCAGCCTTAGGAATTGGCAAGTCTACTACACTTTTGTCAGTAAAAAGTTTTTTCTTAAAGCTGTTTATTAAATTTATTCCCAAGCATTTTGTACTTTTTATTTTTTTGTTTTATATATTTGTATGTTTTTAAATGTTTTTTAAATTTTAATTATTAGACTAAATATTGTAATCAAAAGGCAGATATTGTTAGACTAGCTCAAAAAAGCAAGACCAGCTATATTCTGTCTAGAAGAAATAGACTTTAAGTAGAAGGATTCAATAAGTTGAAAATAAAAGGAAGAAAATAAGTGTACAGTCAAAATAAGAATATTGGATTGGTTATATTAATATTGGAAGATTTGAGAAAAGAAAAATGTGTTCAATAAATTGTGCTGGAAGAGACTAAATATCTTTATGGAAAAAACTGAACTTTAATAGTTACCTTATACCATAAACAAAAATTTTCTTAAAATAAAGCTCAATGTGAAACTAACACTCTAATACTTCTAGAATAAAATATAGAAGAAAATCTTTGTGAGATTACAATAGGCAGATTATTCAGATAAAAGCTAAAAAATCATGAATCATAAATTTGATCAAGTGAATTTCATCAAAATTGAAAACTTCTGCTTTTTTAATTCCCTGGTTAAGTAATTGAAAAGTAGAGCAAAATGATGAAAAAATAAATAACAATCTCTATATATAACAATAAGCTGGCATCCAAAATATTCTTTCAACTCAATAATAAGTAGCAAATTAAAAATGAGTAAAATATTTGACCATATACATCACAAAAGATGACACTCAGATGATCAATAAACACAGGAAAATATGTTCAATGTCATTAGGGATAAGGGAAATGAAAATTAAAATCACAATGAATGATCACTGTCAAACTGTTAAAATAGATGAAACTAAAAAGACTGATAATAACAAGTGTTAGTGAAGATATGTAAAAACTGGAAACTACATAAATTTTGATAAACTGAGGAATGAATAAAGAAATTATGATACATTTATACAGTAGAATTCTACTCAAAAGAAGAATGAACTTCTAACATACATATAAAAACATGGATAAATCTTTTTTAAAAAATCTTCCTGAGTTCCAGCCCGTTGCTTTACTTTTTGCTTCACCGACCTAGTCATTATGCTGACGAGAAAGTCTCCAGAGAATACAGAGGGCAAAGATGGATCCAAAGTAACTAAACAGGAGCCCACAAGACAGTCTGCCAGATTGTCGGCGAAACCTGCTCCACCAAAACCTGAACCCAAACCAAGAAAAACATCTGCTAAGAAAGAACCTGGAGCAAAGATTAGCAGAGGTGTTAAAGGGAAGAAGGAGGAAAAGCAGGAAGCTGGAAAGGAAGGCACAGGAAACTGAATCTGTAGATAACGAGGGAGAATGAATTGTCATGAAAAATTGGGGTTGATTTTATGTATCTCTTGGGACAACTTTTAAAAGCTATTTTTACCAAGTATTTTGTAAATGCTAATTTTTTAGGACTCTACTAGTTGGCATACAAAAATATATAAGGATGGACATTTTATCGTCTCATAGTCATGCTTTTTGGAAATTTACATCATCTTCAAGTAAAATAAATATCAGTTAAATATTGGAAAGCTGTGTGTAAGATTGATTCAGCATTCCATGCACTTGCCTTAAAATTTAGTCCTGTGCATACTGTGGTGTTTTTACTGTGCATATTTGAATTTTTCATGCAGTTTTTCCAGAGCAATAATCAGTGGTGCTTTTGTACCTAGGTTTTATGTGATTTTAATGAAACATGGATAGTTGTGGCCACCTGCTGACTATTTGTGGTTTAAAATAAAAGGTTTACTTGTCTGGAAAAAAAAAAAAAAAATCTTCCTGAGTGTAAAGGGTCAGATACCAATGAGTAAATGGTCTATGATCCATTTTTATGAATTACAGAAAATACAAAGATAATCTATATTGCCATAAAATAGGTCAGTGGTTGCCTGGGGTAAGGGTTTGGGGGAATGGGCAGGAAGGGGGCACAAGAGAACTTTTCAGGAAAGGAAAAGTGATGAAAAGTGTTCCATATTTTGATGGTAGGAGTTGTCACACAGTGTATAAATTTGTAAAAACATCAAAATATATACTTAAAATAGATGTTTTATTGCATATAAGTAATACATCCATAAAGCTAAATAAATAACAATACCTCTCAGAAATAAATATTTAGGAATATGTACTGTTAATGTTTCTGGAAATTAAGGATAAAATGGAGTGTCTCCTCTCATTCCTAGTGATGAGCTAGCAACGTATTTTCACCCCAAACTCAAAAGTTTGGGTTTGCTAGTCCAAAGACCTTATTTCCCAAGGGAAGAATCCCATAACCATGGTTTCATTAAAACTGAAAGTTGGTACTGCCACCAGGCCAGTTTGGGATTCTCATGCCAATGAATCAATAAACAAAGAAGGGAGTTACCTTGCCAGTTAGATTGATGGATCTTGACTTTCAGAAATGAAATTAAATTGCCCCTACAGGTGACACACACTGAGGAACATCTCCATAATTCCATGTCTTATGGTAAAAGTTAATGTAGAACTACATTAAATGTTAACAATAAATGTTAACTTAAATTAAACAATAAATGTTAAACAATAAATGTTAACATTAAATGTTAACAATAAAAGTCTAACAATAAATGTTAGACTGTCAAAGGTCCACACCTTTCTGAAATGAAGTCTTGGGTTACCACACCAGGCAATAAACCATTAACATCTGAGGCCCTTGCTCAGAACAAAGGGAACATGAAATGGATAGTGAAAGAAGATAGTTTTAAATGCCAGCTATGACCATGTGACCGGTAATAGAAATGAGAACTGTAATAGTTATTCATGTCTTCTATATTTTGATATAAACAAATTGTGACTATATTAATCATTTGTCTTTCCCTTTTCTATTTCCCATAAGATATGTTAACAGTAGTTAACCTTATATCTTAGTAAATAAATGCAAATATGCTCATGTAGATTAAGGAACATCTCCCAAAGACTGATAAAAGGACTTTGTATCTTATTTTGGAAGAGGGTTAGTGAAGAGATTAATAATAAACAACATAGCTGTTTCTGGATCCCATGTAAAAGAATGGAACATGATGGTTTTCCCAGTGTTAATTTAGCTAAACTGGAACTAAATGTCCCAGACTTTTCTTACCTGTGTAACATTGATTTCGAATTGGCCATTTGCCTTATCTACAGGATCTGGAAAGCAGAAGTGAAGAAACAATGAATTTTTTGCTCTGAAGGCTAGTGCAGGACACTAGGCACTGTGGCTGCTCATGTAGACTTTTACTGATCTGCTGGTTCACTTTATTGATGTGGACAGAACCCAAATCCACAACTACTGTAGCCGCCTCCAAAATATTTTCCCTCAGCTTCTCCAAGTTCTTATGCAGAATCACATGGAAAACTGTGTAAAAAAACATTAGCTAATTCCACAGGTCACCAGCACTATTGAGGCTGAAGGTGATAAGAGAGAGATGTGGACTCCAGATTGTCTTTCTGTGTTCCTGCTGGGTTTTGCTCCCCCACTTCACAACAAGCTTTCCTTCCTAGCTACTTACCCAGTTTACCTAATGCCTGTCTACCATGAATATATTTATGATTTTCTAGAAATCTGCTATTAATAATGTAAAAGCTATATTAATTTAATAATACTGTATAGTAAAAGCAACAATTAGTAGCCAGGAAGAGATTTCACAACTCTCTGATGTCATTTATAATTTGAAAAGTTAGCATGTATTTCATGTGTTGCAATATAACCATTGGATAAAGACCCCATTATTCAGGAAGGGCTAGAAAAGGAGAGAGGGTGTGTAGAAGAGTACTTGATACTTTGTTCTAAAGATGGGAGACACAGGACAAATGTAAGTGTCACTAGGGAAGAGGGCTAGGACTATGGCGAAACACATAGAAATCAAATCACTAGATGCTGTGTAAGTTGGTATTGCATTCGCCATGTTTATATAGGTAATGGTATTTACCAATACATTACTCAATAATCATTTGAGACGATCCACTTAAGAACTATAATTCATACCAAAGTCCAAAGGAAAACTGTTTCTCCTAAAACACTGATAGAACTTTTTTTTTCCTATTAAGAATAAAAGTTATATAATCAATCATATCTCATTCTCTCTCACTCTGGCCACTTGGAAGCTCTATATCACTTTTTAAAAATTAATTACATAAACTATTTTTCTTTCTGTTCTATATTTTCTCGGCCTTTTGGCAATAAATTAAAATTTTGAAATTATGACATATAGTTTTATAAAAGCTACCTATTAAAATAATTAAAATTCATGAATAAATGGATTAAAATCAAATTTAATAGACATTTTTGAAATAAATATACCAATATAAATAATTAAATTCATATTGTTAATACTAAGTGTATATCTGCTTAATTCATTTTTTATTAGTAAAGAGTCTTAGTCATTTGAGACCATTTTAGCTAATCTATTTCACTTAGAGTAATGCATTCTAAAAGACATATTAAAAATTGCATTTAATGTTAGGTAAGTTTGACACTCAATCTTTTCCCCTATGTCTACAGTTTCTTTCTTGTATAATAGAATTATTTCAAACCAATAGATTACTTTCAGGGAGGTCAGTCCTAGGCACTGGCAACTTATGGCACTTTAGCCCTTTTTTCAGTTACAGAAAATTTAATATATTTCAATTTTTAGATGGTATTCAGTGTTTGGGGTTTTTATTATATGATATGGTTAAGACAATATCTGAAATTGAGGAAAATATTAAGATGTAGACTATAGTCTTATAGACAGTTCATTTCAATCCACACATCATGGCAGTTTTCTGTTCCACTGTAAAATTATTCTTATGTTTTCCACATCAGTGTTACTTTAATACATGAGCTCTAAAAGGAGTGATATCACAGTCATTCCTGATTCCACATGTTCTAGCACCATTAGCATTCATACTAAATGAATGCCATTTAACTTAATGAGAAGTTCATTTCCTCTGTCCATTTACTACCCCTTTAAGTGCCTATCTTCCTTCCTAAGCCTGCTGCAAGGCATGTAGGCAGCTAGCAAATTGAGGATTTAAAAAGATTTTTATTTTATATACCTTGAACTGAATTGCTCTTTACTGGCATTCTAAAAGTAGAGGGACCTATGGTCGTATCATATTTTCAGTCTTCTTTTCTCATATCTTAGCAACTTCCATAATATTCCTACCAAAGTGGTTTATTCAGTAATATAATAACTGAATTGTCAACTTTCCAGCCCCATTTGTGTTTTGATGAATCATTTGAGTTTTTTAAAGGAATGAATGTTTGGGTACCATTGTTATGGCTGAAAGAAAACCACGGTACCTTGTTACATCTCAGGTAGATGTTGTACTGCAAGTGTTTGAATACTTTTTATATTAATACTTTTTAATATTTTTTAATATTAATACTTTTTAATATTTAGATGATTGAAGTTCACAATAAGAAAGCACAAATTCTAAGAAATTATATAGCTGTTGAGATGAAGCTGCCATTTTCCAAAGCATAACACCCATTTCTTGTCATGAAATTTTATTCAAGATGCTGAACTGCACACCACAGAGAATGAGATATCGGCAAAGGAGATGCTAGAGAAAACATAACAACAAAAAATCCTGATGGATTCCTTAATCATATAAGCCACTGGTGAACAAAAAAGCACTGTTAAGATTGCTTCAGAAATTAGGTCGTGACCTGACTTTTTGAAAAATAGAGCAAAGTAAATTGAAAACATAAATGGATACACGTTTCTGAGAGAGGTTGGGAGAACTGCCTTTCAGTATAACGAAGATGAAGGATGTTTGTTCTGTCAAAGACAAACATTAAAATTAACAACACCAGTCCTAAAAAGGATGAATTATTTAATTTTGCAGTATATATCATATATTCATCTCATCAGTATGTGTGTAAAGGGTGTGACTCTACTCACAAAATAATTTGACTGAAATGGGGAGAACCAAGCCAGGAGCGCACCCAGTGTATTCAGAGGTGCATGTCTGCCCCGACAATGTGAGGACCTGAAGGAGATGTGGTATGTCCATGACAGCTTGCACACATAGCAGTGTTATCCTATTGTGCCCTACCAGATGACTTTGTTTTTCTCTCTAGGGTCTTTGCTCTATTCTAGTTTCACGGCTCAGCTTTCTTTCGCTGATGCTGGCCCTCCCCATTTTGGCCTTTTTCACTACCTGTCTGGCTCCAGATTTATGGATATTTTTCCCCAGCTCCAGCCAGAGACTGCTGAATTAGCACAATGCATAGCCCAACTAAAGGAAAACTTCCTGGCCTTCAGTCTCAGGTGTTAGGATTCGGCACTGCTTACAACAGGAGCCAACTACTGTATTGTTTATTATAGTTTTGACCATTTTTGTGCTTACTGTTACCTAAAGTTTCAGACGCCTAACTGAAAACAATGCCTGATCCCTTGAATGTTGCTGTCACCAGGTGCTAGCAAGAGCCAGGTGCTTCAGTAGCACTCATAGAGAAGCCTGGTGACTTCTGCATTTGCATGAACTAGACTCATTAGGAAAATCGGAATTAAAGAGAATAGTTTCAGTCAACATACAAAGGTTGGAGAATTTACAAACCAATATTCTAGTCCATATAGTAATTAAACCTAAAATATTGACTAAAAAGAATCACAAAATTTCCTGATACACACGATGTGTATAAAGTTTGCACTATTTAAATTATGGATGATTCAGTGATGTTTGTTTTGTTTTGTTTTGTTTTGCTTTTAATCAGACTGACCTCAGAACTATGACTCTACCTTAGGACTCTGCCACTTAGAGCCAGCTTCATTAA